CTTGGGCTAGGGAACCCTTCCTTTTTCTACCACTGCCCTTGCTTGGGGGTTTTAGACAATTCATTTATCTATCCATAGGTAATTTTGAACAGTTACTATGTTCCAAGTTCTGTATATACCTTTCATATATCATCCAAGTTTACTCTGTCACGTCTTTAAAATGGGGCAAACACTAATTGGAAAATGATAATAAGTATCGCATAGGCTCTTCTGTTTGAACCGTGCTCTATTCCATACCAAGTATTTTTTACATATTTTGTCTCGTTGTCTCTTGACAGTACCCCTTTGTGACATATATAGTAGGGTTTGTGGGATCCTCTCCATTTTTTAACAGATGGAAAAACAGGCCCAGTCCCTATCTTCGACGAGGGAACCATTTGAGATTCAGAGAGGCTAAGTCACTCATTTATCCACATCTCCTCACCCAGTAAATGGCAGAGCCTGCATTTGAACCAAGATCTTTCCTGCTTATTTATATGCCCCACTCTGCCACCTGAAAGTTGTGTAAGAGCTGGGGTTCAGCTGTGGTCTTCTAGTGTGGTCTCCTCTCTGTCTACTACCCTGGGCCATCCCCAGTTAGGATCACCCACCTCTGCCCTACCAAGCAGGAGACCTAGTTCATAAGGGAACGGTCTTCCAAAAGTCTGGATAAGCCCAGAAAGGCCTGCCATGCCCACCCTACCACCTCAGCCCCCAGACACAGCTGCTCTGCTCTGAGTAGCAGCCCGCATTAAGCATTCGACTCATCATCTCAGGGATGATGGAATCCTAACCTTTTCGGAGATACCGTACTCTGTCACAAGCATTGCTCTTTTTGAAAGAGATTAATTCACTTCCTGCATTTTGTCCCTTGGTGAAAATCACAGGGGAGAGCAGGGGACTTTCTCAGGCCTCAAAGGCCCTTTCAGTTGCTCTTAGCAGGCAGCCACTGTCCCCCACCCCCAGCTGACCCAGGACTTTGAAATGATGGCCCCCATTGGGCATTCACTTGCAAAGCAACATAATGAAATGGAGGAGACCTGGTTTGTGAAATCCTAACTTTCTGGGCTGCTCTGCACAGAGGGGAAGCAAGGGGAGGAGCCTACCCAGCTTTGAAATAGGAAATGGTGGTGGCAGTTGGGTTCATTTGTAGTGTAGTTAGCCCTGGTCCCTTTTTGATAGAGCAGATAGACCATCACTCCTTACAGAGTTCTACCATATGGTATCTCTTTTAATCCTTACAACCACTTTGCACAAGAGGGATTGATATCCCCCATTTCACAGCTAGTAAGTGACAGAGCCCGAAACTGAACTCCAGCCTTTGGACTCCAGGGTCATTGCTTTTTTTCCATTACACTTCAGCCCCAAGAGGCTGCAAAGAATGATCTCAGTCAGGAAGCTGGGCAGGGCTGAAAGCTGGAGTCTTACTGAAGAACACCACAATTTGCCTCCTATGAATGACCCTCAGATTTGTAGAGCCCTTTCCTTCATATTTCAGTGCCACCTCCTCTAAACTCCTGAAAACCTGGAAGGGATTATGGTCTTCAGTGGACCTGTGAAGAGACTGAAGCTTAGTGACACGATGTGCCTTCTTTAGGGTTTTAGAATAGTTAGGTGGCAGAGCAGGAGCTAGAACCCAGGTCTCCTCACTCTGCCCTATGTTCTTTCATTGAAATGACAGTGAGTTTAGAGAAACGCCTCTTCCAGCAGTCCTTCCCTTAAAAGAAAACCCTGCAATGTACGGAAGAGAAAACCCCAAAATGCAAACATACACGTAACAAGTAGCTCAAAATTGTTGGTGATCAGAGACGTGGAAATTAAAACAATAATGCAATATCCCTTTACACCCATTAGACTGGCCGTGATTAGGAAGCTGGCTATTGCCAACCGTTGGCAGGCAGAAGGGTACACAGGAACACCTCTGTCTGGGAGGGTCGATGGAGCAGCTCTCTAGGAGAGGACCGTGGTACTATTTAGTCAGATCAACACATATTTAATTATGCAGCAATTAAAAACAATGGAGCTATTGTATACTTAGCAATATGAATGTATCTTCAAACAAAATTATCTGTGAGAAAAGTAGTAAACAGGATTTTTAAAATATTAATACACACACACACACACACACACGTGTGTGTGTGTGTGTGTGTATATATATATAAAAGAAGAAGGAGTGAGGGAGGGAAGAGAAGAGAACCCTGCCCGGCTCAGGTCCTGGAAAGTGAGAACCTCTCTCTCAGTCTCTTCTTTGAGAGCCAGTAAAAGGGGCGAGGCACAGAGCAGGTGCGTGTACATGTTTGCTGAATAAATAAACAAAGGAGTGCCTAGAGCCAGGCTGGCTGAATTATCCAGGTCATCCCGTGTGACCACGTCTTAGAATCCCTCAGTATTGGCCAACCTGCCACTACCAGAGTGGAAGCAGAACACTTTGTTCCGTCAAAATGATGAAAGTGAAAAAGGGTGGCAGGCAGAAACCATCTGTACTGAATACCTGCTATATGCCAGGCACTGGGCTGGGTTCCTGCAAATTAGACCCTCAGGGGTTAAGCTAATTTTATAGTTTCTTTTGCCCCAAATCCTTGAACGACAGACAACTCCTACTACCTTTGATGAGAGGCTAATAAGGAATGACAAATAGGTTTTCTCTCTGTTGCCTGCTTCAGTGGATTGATAGTGGCTGATTGGAACCTGTGTTCGGAAGATTCTGGGGCTTTTTCAAAGGCTCCATAAGAAATTCTTGCTGGAAGAGATTCATATCTGTCCTCGACATGGGAATGTGGGACAGAAGCATGCAAGCCAGGCATATGTCAACTTTTTAGACTGAGTTTTTATCCTAGGGTCCATTATTGATTTCATGGGGGCTGTGAACCCCTGGATAGTATATGCAAAAAAAAGTTTTGAGTGTATGAGGTCTCCTATGCACTTTTCTGGAGAGAAATTTGATCATACTCTCAAAATTTGAGAGTTCCCAGCTCAAAAAAGATTTACTCTCCCTGCCTTGACCTCCTAGTCCTGCATTTGAGGCTCTATGTAGGCCCTGCATACCTCGGCAACTATCTATTTCTCTGCTGTGAACTGTCACCCAGATGGATCTGCCTACGGTCTCTGACTGTTCCTTTCCTGCTCTACAATCATACCCTGTTTCTTTTGCCTTGATTGGCGTGCACTTTCTCCTGCTTCTCAAATTCTTCCTGTTTCTTCAAGACACAGTTCAAATCTCTTCCCTCACAAGTCTCTTTGATTTTCTAGCCTTTCTGTACTGAGGACCAGAGAAGTGAGGCGATCCGATCAGAATCACAGTTAGAATCGGAATTCCAGACTCTTAACTTTCGGAACCATGTGCTCCCCGCCATATCACGTGGCCTGCTAAAGGAGAAGCAAGTTTTGGAAATAAGGAAGAGTTCTTTGCCTCTTTAACATTCTTGGTCATAGAAAATTGTTTCTGCATAAAAGAAGTTTAACATTGTACATGGTAAAAGCCTCCAAACGTTTACCAGAAGAAATCCTCCAAACTAGAGCTGAGAGATGAAGGTTTCCCAACCTCCTCTCTTAACACTCTCTCCACATGCTTTGTGCCCTAATCCTACCAAACCTCTTGCAGGCCTCATACACCCTATGCCCTCTTCTCTAGGTGAAGAGACTTACCTTGCCTGGAGCACTCCTTCCCGTCCCTTACCCCCTTTTTTTCTAGCTAGCTCCCCTTTATCAGCACCTCCTCAGAGAGGCCTTTCTGGTCTCTGAGACTGGGTTAGGTCCCCTTGTTGTGCACCTACCACCTGTATTCCCATGCATAGCACTCATGAGATATGTAATTTTATGCTTGGTGGTCTGTTTCCCTCTCAGGCTTCGACAGTGCCTTGGACAGTGTTTGAGTGAAATTTTTCCTCACCCGCATCCAGAATCTAACACAGGACAAAGCACATGGCATATTTATTTGCTGTAATCAATTTAGTCTTTGTCTTTCATGTTACCTGGAGCCATGTTGTGTCTAGAGGAAGGGTGGTGAGGTGAGAAGGAGCCTGGCTTTAGAGTCACTATCAACCTGGGTTCTAGTCACTGCACTGTTTCTTAACTAGCTGTGTGAGCTTAAGCAAGTCACTTCACCTTACTGAGCCTGTTACCACATCCATGAAAAGAGGAGATTACTGCCAGCTCCTTAGGTGGTATTAAGAGGAAATGAATACAGGAACATAAAATACTTAGGGCAGCTCCTGCTTGTAGAAGGTGCTCAGTAAAAATTGGTTCTACTTATTCCCCTTCTTTCTGTTCACCCCCACATTGTAGGGCCCCTGTTCCTGGGACCCAGAATTCAGACTTTTAGTGGTTTACTTTAAATTCTGTGTTTGTTAATTTATTTAGCAATAATTGCTTTCCTACTATGCATTAGGCACTGGGATATAGGTTCATGTGCAGTTCATGCAGACTCTCCTAGGAACTCTATCTATTGTTTCTAATGTTCTTTCCATCTTTCCTTGGGTTAAAGGATTTCCCATTTCCAAATGGCCACAATACAGATAAACTTGAGGAATGTAATCATTTTATAAACTGAGAACTACCCAGATAACATGTGTCATTAGGCATTCTGTGCTAAGCATTGGGAAATTAAGGAGGGAAGAGAGATCTGCGGACTGGGCCAGTCAAGGAAAGCTTCTCAGAAGAGAGTCCACAGGCCAGGATTGTATCACATAACTTAAGAGGAGGATTTGAATAGATAAAGAGGCAGGGAGAGAGCATTCCGAATGAGGGGAGTGGGAGAGTCAGGGTATTAAGATAAGGAGGGCCCATTCTTTTCTCAGAAGTCAGCAGGAGGCAGACTGATTTAAGGGAAGAAGAACAGGTAGGGGAACCCTTGGGTGGGGGGATAGTGACCGGAGGAGCTGAGATTGGGGATTTAGTTCACAAAGGCCACATTTTCAAACTCATCCGCCTCTTTGTTTGTTGGCTGTGTCATTTCTTCTGTGGTTATTTCCGCTTGTATGTCCATGATAAGCCATACACTGAAAATATTCTTCTCTTTTTAGGCTGTTGTCAGAAGGTGCAGATGTCAATGCAAGGCACAAACTTGGCTGGACAGCACTCATGGTGGCAGCCATCAGCCGAAACTACAGGTGAGAGATCTCCTTCCACACGGGGCTCCCTGCAGACTACATTCTCAACATGCTCTCACCCTTGCCTGCCCCTTTGCCATCTTCTCCAGAGGCAGGAGGATGGATTCAGTCTTAGGTATTGGACTATACCTGGTGCATTGGACTGGTTAGTAGATGTGGAGAGGAAAGGGTTGTCTGAGAAACTTAGTTGCACTTGAGATAGGTCTCTCTTCTCTGCTCCTTTATTGTGAACTTGATCTCAGCCGCTCAGTTTTCTCATTTGCCCTCTTTAGCTCCAAGCATTTATTCTTTAAAAGAAAAATTGATATAAATAGGCTTTGTGGGTTGAGAGACCCAGAATCGAGTTCTGGTTCTGAGCCTTAATTGAATTTCAGAACTCCACGAAGACCCTGTTTCTTCATCGGAAATTACTATGAACATTTAGTAAATACCTGCTCGGAGCCAGGCCCTGTGCTAGTGTTTGGAGAATCTGATACCTTAGGGAGCTCACATCTAATGTAAAAAGAAGTGCAGGTAAGGAGACACAGTATAGTGTGATCAGTGATGTCAGAGCAGTGTGTACAGGATGTTATTGAAGCAGCAGATATGAGAGGACTCAGTCTGGTAGCAGAGTAGATTCTGTCCATATTATTTTGAGAATCAAGTAAGATAATGTGTGTGCTACAGGTTATAAATGGTGAGTTTTTATTCCCTGATGCCCCATTAGACCTGTACACACAAACACACATGTGTTTATTCTATGCCATTGATACTCCACCCCACCCACCAGTCTTCTTCCCCAACTTGTAGGTATTTCCATCTGCAAGAAATAGCCAGTGGTGCTGAAGGAGGAGGAGCTGTGTTCCTTTCTATGTGTAGTATTTTCGAGGTCGGGACTGAATAGGAAGCAACATTATACTTAAGAGTACTGTCAATTAGTGATCAGATAGCTTGTAGATGTGCTTTTGGGGACACTTCTCTCTGACTCTAATGAGTTGTTGGTTTAACTGATTGCTCTGTCTTTAGCAGGGCTATTAGCAAATCAGCGATGCTTGCTGAGCAAAGTGTTAGCTTGTATTTACTTGCTTTGGTCCTAGGTAAGCATCCATTTTGCCCCCTCCTCTTCCTTCCAGTATCCAGGGAAGACAGATTTTTACTGAAAATAACACACTCTCAGGTTGGATTTATTTATTCATATCACAAACATTTTTTTGGCCCCTACTATCTGCCAGGTACAGTTCTATGTGCTTGAAATAACATCAACGATATACAGACAAAGATCCCTGCCCACATAGAGCGTGTTTCTATACTAGTAGTGGTTCCTGGATAGAGAGAGGCATGCACAGACAATAAACAATATGTATAATGGATAAGTAAACTATATATTAGAAGGTAAGAAATGCTGTGGAAAAAAGGAAAAGTAGAACTTGTTAAAAAGGGAGTACCAGGAGTACATTGGTCAGGGTGAGTAGGCCTTATTGGTAAGGTACCCTGTGAGTAGTCTTAAAGGATTATCATGTCCATACCAGCACAATCTGCCAAAAAGTTTCTCCTTTTTAGAAATGTGCTGATTCTCATATAATCAATTACCAATCCTTCTGGAATCATATTGGCCAGGCCTGAAATGCCACCACCTTCGAATTGGATATAGATGAAGGGAAGATAAAAGGGCAGCACCCCTTCATTCAAAGCTGAAAGCAGAGAATTTTTTCTTCCTTTGGGGTGTTGGCAACCCAAGAGCTCAAGAGAGACATCCAAGATTAGTCCACTTATTTCACCCTTAGGTGCCTGCTTAATGTGTTAAGTCCTTAAGGATATAAAATATAATAGTCTCTATCCTTAAGGAGCTTAATTTTCATATGTATTTATTATTTTATTTAGTTTTGAATAGGAAATAACAGAGCTATAGTACTAAATTTGAAAAATAGGCACAGGAATTTAATTTATAATTTATTCCCTCCTTTTAATTCCATAAAGGGTTTGAGGTGACTTAAATTAAAATACAAATATAAATATACACAGGAAAGTTAAAACTAGATCATGATCAGAAATCATATTGGTTAAAGAAAAGATAATTGTATTAGGATTGAACCAGAGATTTTTCTTCTCTGAAAATAGGTTAATTGTTTTTGTAAAAATAATATAGAGAAGAAAGTAACAGTCACCTGAATTCCCTCTATCTAGAGATTGATCATCATATATATATTTACTTGTGCGTGTATAATTTTACATCAGTGGGACCATGCTGTCTTCACTGTAAATTAGGTAATTAGTGAAATCGAGTATTAATTTAGATTGAAGCTTCCTGATGAGCAAGGCATAAAAGAGATACAGAGAGTTTTATTTCTTCAGGAGAGAAAAACTTTGTCTTGGCATCCCTTTGTATTATCATTATATGCATCCAGCAAACATGTTTAAAAACTGCTGTGTGCTAGGCTATGGGGGGATTCAGAGAATAAGCAGTCACGGCTTTTGCCTTAAGAAGCTTACTTGGACTGCTGACATCAAGGACTTGAGTATTGTGTTGGACATTGTCTTCAGTAGCCATTCTGCCAAAGCTTTACCAACATTGTACTAGGACAATCCCTTTGCCAGCCCTAGTAACAGCTTGGGTGTAGTATTGACTCAAAGAGCAGTCATTGAGATCTGGCCCCGTTCTCCACAGTGAGCCCTCTATAAGCCTCATGCCACAAGGCACTTGTTTAGCCTGAGTCTGGGTGTCTCATTCTGTGTTGCACTCTGACCCAGCCCAGCTAAAGGCTAAGCCACAGGGTCCCAGGATGATCACTGTGACTTAGCATAGCCTTCACCGGCTAGTGCAAATATACACAGCCTTCAGCTAAATTCAATTAGTTTTTCTTTAAGAAGGGAAAGAAATCCAATTTTGCCAAACATGGACAGACGGTGGAAGGCACTTTGATGTTACAACCTCTCAGTGATGCTTTACTTAGTCACAAGTTCATAAGCAAGAAGGCTTAATTACTTGGGAAAACACAGGATTAAAACTGAACACAATGGCTGAGTATCCGCTCTCGGGCGACTTGATTCGAACCCATGCACCCAGTTCGTGTGTGGTGCAAACTTTGATGTGTGCTATGACAAGCTGAAAGTCATGACCCCCTCGGGGAAGCTCCTTCAGATGGCATTTGCAGGATGTGTAGGCAGAGAGGCAGGGTCTGCCAGGCTTGTTTGCTCAACTTTGATGTCCAAGCAGCCACAGGCCCCACTATTTGCTCTTTCACTGAGGGATAGATTGGGAGCCTCCTACCTTTCCCAGTGGACAATGGCCAGCAATGGAGTGTGACGACTGTTGACCATTCCAGGAGGCTGGTGGACCAGAACAGGGCTTTGGGAGGTGCAGAGTCTGGGGGGCCAAAAGCTGTTTATAGGACACATCATTTCTCCAGATGTAGCTTTCCTTAAAGCCCTAGTGTTGTTGGGTGCTTGTAATGGAGATAAAAATAGTTTTAGGAATTTTAGCAGGTACCAAGTACTGCTTGATCCTCTGTCCAACAATGCTAAGGTAGTTGTAAACTGAAAGTTTAAGTCTTTCCTATTCCTTTCTTTAGAGTATATGAGCAGAGGATAGTGGTTTAGAAGGAAAATGGTATGATTTAGATCGTTATATTTTCCAATTCCTCAAAAAAGATGCTGTCAAAACACATGTCTGATGAAGGAATAGTATGCAGAACATATAAAGAACTCTTACAAATCAATAATGAAAAGACAATTCAATTTTTTAAAAATGGGCAAAAGATTTGAGCAGACACTTCACCAAAAAGAGATCGGTGGCAAATAAGCACATGAAAAGATACTCAGCATTGTTAGTCGTTAAGAACATGCAAATTAAAATCACAGTGAGATACCACTACACACCTACCTACCACAATAGCTAAAATTTAGAAAAACTGACAATACCAGCTACTGGCAAGAATACAGAACAATTGTCATACATTGCTGATAGGAACACATAGTGGTATAGGCACAGTGGAAAACACTTTGGCAGTTTCTTATAAAGGTAAAGCATACTTTTACCATGCAACCCAGCATTAGCAACTCCTAGGTATTTGTCCAAGAGAAATAAAAACATGCATCTGCAAAATGACCTGTATGTAAATATTTATAGCAGCTTTTTTCATAACCACCAAAAGCTGGAAATAACCCAAATATCCATCAACTGATGAATGGACAAATTGTGGCACATCCATACAGTTAAAAAGAAAAAAAAAAACTCAGAAGTAAAAGAAAAGAAAAGAACAAACTACTCATACATGCAGCAACATGGATGAATCTCAAAAGCCTTATGCTAAGTTGAAGCCAACACAAAAAGCTACCTACTGTATAATTCCATTTATACGACATTCTGGAAAAGGCAATCTACTCTAAAGACAGAAATCAAATTATTGGTTTCCAGGGTTTGGGAGTGGGAGGAGGATATAAAGGAACTTTTGGGGTGATGGAAATATTCTATATCTTGATTATGGTAGTGGTTACATGACTGCATACCATTATCGAAACTCATCAAATTATACATCTTAAAAAGGATGCATTTTACTATGTATAAATGATACTTTAAAACTGACCAAAAAAATCTTTTTGAAAAGCTGTTATTCCTTATTAATTCTGACCAGTGGCATATTGAGAATTCATGTTTGTAGTGTCAAAATTAATTCATATTATTAATGATCACCTGGAATGTTTTGAATCCTTGTTGTTGTTGATATCTCACATTAAAGTACTGTGTATTTTGATTGTCAGTGGGGAATGAAGATTTGTGAATTCATACCATTAGTGATGCCACGAAGTATAATTACTGATGAATAGTGATAAATTCACTTTATGAGTAATATACAGCGGGCTTGTATAAATTCACAAAGTGTATGATTCTTCATTCCAGCAAGGAGAAAGTTCAGGTACAGGACTGGGAGTTTGCCTCTTCCACACCATTCTTGGGCTCCTTATCCCTGGACTCCCATGCATGGAGACCACCTATATAGTGAGGCCATTGTGGTGCTTCAGGA